TTGAACATAACAGCAAATGTACAACGTTTCGACAACCTGATGATGAACAAAACATTGTCGAAACGTTGTACATTTGCTGTTATGTTAAACTTATATCAAAGTTTATCTTCATTACCCATTCAAGCCGTCTCCAACCATTATTAGTCTCAAAGTGGGTTCCTCGTCATCGAATTTGAAATAATAAAATTGTTTTGTAGGTTTTGGTACTTTTGCCATTTTCATTGTCAGTTTCTACGGAATTGTCAGCAAATTAAAATGTAGTATATCGTATTTGTCTTTTTATTATTTATTTTAATTACTAGTTGAAAAATAAACATGGGTATTTTGCTGTGGTAAGGCGCGCATGAAAATTTATATAGAATAATCAGGAGTTTAGTACAAGATAATATTAGCATGATAACAGACGGGTTTGTATATACAGAAATAGATATAATATACATTATTTAGCTGATAATGTAAAAAGTAATCGTTTGTATAGATACAAAAATAAGACGACTTGGAAATATTTATCCAGGAAATTTTAGTTGCAATGTGTGTATCGCTGTGCATGTAATTTTTGTAATATATTTAATGTTTACTCTATATATGCGTTAGTACAGTAATCTTCTGAGCGGTAATATTTCACTGTATAGGATAAAAACAGTTTACATAGCCGGGTTTCCCACACGGTACTTAAAGCCGGTGATCACTTATCGTCGTTTCACTTTTGATTAGTCAGAGAGTCACTTGTCCGGGTAGTTGTTAGGATAGCCATTACTTGATTAAAGCAAGCAGTTAGTTGTCGCCGTCGCCCGCGCGAGCAGCCAGTTACAGGTGAGACCAGCGGGGGGCCTCTACTGGGCGGTTGGAAAATTGTTGGTCAGTGCTTGGTACAAACAAAGTCTCCACCCCTTTGACAAACATATGTCATTTTTGTTGATGGCGCTACGTGCATCAGAGTAGAAGACGGCTGATCTGACATTCTGACATATTTCCCAAGAACCGCGCGGTGGGGGAATGGTGACACGAGCGTGCACGTTATTTAAATAAGCCATGATACTTCCCGTGTACTGCAGAAAGCCATCGCTGAATTGCCCACTGCAGAAATATATCTTAGTAAGTACACCTAACTGAAACTAAACGAGGAATTACATATTCAAACAAACTAATGGAACCAGCGGTTGCTAGGTTATCTATATCATTATATATCACAGCTACAACGTACTTCGGTATTTTCATCGCACAAAGTTTCAAATGTTATTTTATATTTTTGGAACGAAGTTGCAAAATCCAAAGAAGTAAGACTTATCGACTGCGAAATATTATGTAAAGTTAGAAAAAAAAACATTTACCCCCAAACCACTTTACCCCTTACAGATAATTAATAGAGAACTTTTATTTTAACCGACGTTTCGCCTTTCCAGCTTCTTCAGGACTAGTACATACAGCTGTTGGATATTACAATATTCTTTAAATTAAGGCGAAATGTTGGTTAAAATAAAACGTTTTCTTATAATTATCTGTAGTGTTAAGGTAATTTTTTTTCTAACTATTTTATCAAAATGTGTAAATACCTTCGGTATGTACTACAAATTTTGAAAAGTTGCCTAGTTTTGTTATAAAAAACAGACGCTTTTTGAGAAGTGAACGAAATGTTGGGTTGATAAAATAAATATTTCTGTAGATTAATGCACGAATGAAATACGCGTATACATTAACACTGGAACACTGGGTGTGTGTGCTAAAAACGATTGAACAGAATCGGAACTACGCATGCACAGCACCTCCATATGTCAAGCACTCAGAGTGTCCACTTTAGAAAGTCCATAATAAACACTTCTTAACTAGAATGTAAATAAATAAAAGTTAACAGAATGTGGTTAAATGTAATAATGAAAGCATTTGTTATACATAACTGACCAAAACTCCTAGTAGACTGAACCAGAAAATCATATATCAGATCCCTCTCATTTCAGCTTCAAAAACGGCTCTTTTAAGGACAACATTCTAATTCGATAATATACCCTAGAACAAGCGTTATGGAGCTGTCTGTGTACAACTAGGTGGTTCAAGGCGTCAGATTGCCATCACAAAACAAGAAACTTCGCCACCCGTATACCACATGATGAAGGTCCAGCTTACGGTAAAAACAGCCTCCAGGGGCGAGGCAGTGTAACACAGCAGTAAATGTTAGTTAATACATTAAACGTATTAGTTCCAGCTGTTTGTATATAATTGATCTTTATTCTGAACATAAAACATGAACGTGTGAAAGTTAATTTTACATGAGATTAATTTCGTTTTTACTGTTTCTTATTTCATATTTCTCATAGGTTCCAACCTATAAATCATATTCGTTTTTCAGACAATAATCTATTGTGTTGTTTCTACAAGTATCACATTTGAACTGACTGAGGCTTATCCATTACACGTGAAGGAGTCAGTTCGTCTCTCTCTATATATAATGTATTATGTTAGAAGTTTTCCTCCTATGTTTTGTACATCTGTGGTTCTTTATATCATTTTACATGTAGATTCTATATATTTGAAACGATTGTAATTCTGCGTTACTCATTCGATGCACATTAGGTGGCTTTTTGTTGTTTACTACGGGTCATCCGAAAGGAACATTGTAAATTATATTCAGTAAACGTTTATTGACAAAATCGATATGAAACTCAAACAGTTTTCCTACTTATATTTCTGTTTATCTACGTGGTTTTATACTACTTGCTTCCTTCAAAGCCGCTGAGAACAAATTCTTCCAATTTTGTCTGCTCTGAGCTTCAGAAAAGTCGGTTACACCATATACTAACAAAAAGATAATCGACTATTTTCTTCCTTTTAGTAACACAAGAAAAATTCCTATGAAGTTTCTTTCTTTTTAATCAGGCATTTACAACTTCTACAAAACAGAAAGGGGGGGGCGATACTTATGTCGTCTCCGTCGGGACACGCTCTGTCGCTTGGATTGCTTTGGGCAAAGTATTCCACTTGTGCAACACTATACAAAACAGGAGATTTTGTAAACATGTTAAAAGATCCATGTTTGTTTGTTTGTCTTTATCTCGGTACAGTACAGAAATGATTGAAGTAAATCCATCCTATTCTCACCACATGTTTATCTTTTCTTTCCAATTATTCGTATACACACAGCCTTAACAGATATAGATTAATATACTGTGATTTACCAAAGAAAACGAGTTTCAGCCTACAATCTAAATGTGGAATGAAAGACGTTTCACGCTATAATCAGCAGGGTTCACAAGTAGAGCGTGATAGTGGTGTTATCAACTTGTTTAGGGCTATTGTTAGCCACTCTGGCCAGGCGGAGAAGCAGAAATAACAAGCGGGTTTCATAAAGCAAGAGTGACAAAATCTAATTGGGCGTCCAGGATAGAGGAAGCAGGCGGTAACCACGTTTGGTTATCTGCTGATTGATGACGTGATGAAACCATGTGGCGGAGGAAAGGGCGGCATGACAACGATTTCTACGTTTCCGGATCTATGAGCTTCTCCACGCTAGTGGATTTCACGGATCTCAGGTTTTGTTAGAGAACGAGGTAAACGAAGAATGTATAACAGTCTCCCGTGATTCTTTCTTTTCGGTGGAGGAAGATGACAGGGGTGGTGCGTGCACATTTGTATCAAGAAAATCTTTAAAGCAAAGACTAAAAAAGAAAAATACGCTCACTCCAGAGAGTATGGTTTGAAATGAAATCGACAGTAGGAAGCCTTACAGAACAGAAAAGTTAGGTTACAAATGAATCAATCTATCTTATACAAAGGATTTCTTGCCAGTGAGAAAAAATGTACTAGGTAGTAAGAGTAAACTTCGCACTAAACTCATACTTTCGTGCCACACTAACCACGTGACCAAAAGATAGCTGAAAGAATGGTAAGTTTAGAGGTTATATCATACTATGCCATGTATAGCCTACGAAAATTGATAACAGAGATAAGAAGTTAAGATAAACTTCACGACAGTGTTAACCCTCAAGTTACCGGTGTAGTCCACATATTCAATCATCTATTATAATAATATTCAGTTTTTGTCTGTCCTGAAAATGCGCTCACTCTTCATTTCAACGGATGTAAACAAAATGCGGATGTAAATATACTTTAGTAGACGTTTTTAAAAAGTTCTAACGTTAGGTAGTAGAATAACATTATTGATAGTATTAAGTACGGTAAAGTTTAGTGCTAACTAAACTAAAGCAAAAAACATGCACAAGTTACAGTGTTAATTTATATCTTTATCGAATATAGGCGGTACTTATTAAAGGCTTAACTAATACAAACGTGACCGCAGATGTTTTGCGGGTCTCTGCTAGTATTGCTCCCCCCCTGTGGCACAGCGGTATGTCTGCGGACTTACAACGCTAGAAACCGGGTTTCGATACTCGTGGTGGACAGAGCACAGATAGCCAATTGTGCAGCTTTGTACTTAACTTTAAACAAACAAACTGCTAGTATTGAATAATTATATGTTTTTCTCTGTTATAACACCCAGCGTTAATAACTGGACAGAAAAATATGAAATCATTCATTTCCTTCGCAAACATATTGGGAGCTCCAGCAATAATTAGGAGAATTAATTGCAATATCCATGGTATGTTTGTCTTACATTATTCTTTAGTGGATCGTATGCTATTAGCGACCTGTAATCAACATTCAAGAACCCCCCAAGCACTTTGGTGCATAAAGGATTTAAATATAAAAAAAAGTGTTTAAAACCTCATAATTTCATCTATCTCTAATCCTAGCTTGTGACTGGACTACTTTTGATGTCCACTAGTCGTCTTAGCATTAATATAATGAAATACCGAAGTTCCAGTCTTTCAAAATTTAAGGTCATAATATAGTATAATATAATATTTAGGGACAACAAGGGACCTATTGGTCCATTTAGGCTGTTCCATCCACTAGACTGCTAAAAAACAAAACAAAAACTCTCAAAGCCAGCCATTATCATTCATATATTTATCAAGTCCTCCATTAACCTCACTTAAATTTACTGACTCCAAAACATCCGACGGCAACCCATTCCAAAGACCAAATACCCGGTTAGTAAATAAAACTGTCTAAGCTGAAGATGATTCTTACCCTGCCAAAGTATATATTTGTGTCCACTAGTCCTACTATTCTCGCCGCCATTAAGTATGAAAAAAGATGATGCATCAACACGATCAATCCCTTAACAATCGTAAACACCTCAATCACATCCCCCTAACTCTTCTTTTTTTCAAGAGAAAACAATTTCAGAGATCTTAGCCTCTCCTCGTAAGACAACCCCTCCATCCCAGACACCATTCTAGTAACCTTCCTCTGAACCATTTCTAACAATTCAATGTCTTTCCTAAGGCAAGGACCCCAAGACTGAACACAGTACTCCAAGTGTGGCATTATCAATTATCTATACAATGAAATTATAACCTCTTTAGATTTGCATTGAATATTTATGCAGATACATCCATAAATCCTATTTGCCCTACCACTAGCAACATCATAATCTCATTCTGTACTCCCCCCTCTAATGATAGCACCTACTGTTAACCCTAAAATATTCTACTTAGTTTTTTTTTACCATATACTGAGTGATTTCCTTGACAATCACTTTGTAGAGGGAGCTTACTTGACTCAAGGAAATATTCTTTATAAGAAATGCCGAAATCACATATTAAGTTATTGAAGAACCTAGTTTGCCCTATAAAATAATGTCAAGAATTTTATAGAAAATAGAGGAATTGTTTTTCATTCTGTACTGATAAATATTAATAAAAATGCACTGCAAACATTTTAGTACGTATATACAATAGCAGAAAATCGGTAAAAAAATCACCAAATAACTGATGCATTTGCGAAAACATACGCAAAGTTTACCCGACAGTGTTTGTTTTCAGATTCTGAAATCAGATCACTAAACTCGATCGGTTGTTGTTTGTTATTAAGCACAGAGCTACACAAAGAGCTATCTGTTCTCTACCCACCACGGGTATCGAAACCCCGTTTTTAGAGGGAAACTCCGCAGACGTACCGTTGTGCCACTGGGAGCAACTCGATAAGTAAACACCAGCAATGTTTCTAGTTTGTCATTTGATGATAAGTTTTTTAATAAGTTCAATTTGAATTGCAAACTATCTTTTACTTTCTTTTTTCTGGAAAGAGTTGAATCATTTTGCAAATGCATTTTATTAGTGACAGTAATAAATTATTTAGAAATTGTGCAGGATTTTATGTGTATCTAAAAGCAGATGATGCACATATTCTAATCTATCAATATCACATGTTCACATGTTCAGTTTTAATAGCTTACTAGTAACCATGACAACAAAACTGCAGAGTATCATCTTACTTTTAGTGAAAAAAAACACGACAGTTTTATTTAAAAACGAACGGTAGAAGATCGTTAATTTTTAGCTTATTCTGGAACGTTTGAAGTACTTTCAAATTATACCAGACCATTCGAAGTGTGGAAAAATATGTACATTCAAAATTCCAGTTTTCTTACATAAGATTTCCTTATGCGATTTAAGTTTGTCAATAGCGTTTGATATTTTTTATGCATGCCACTAACTTTTATGCTTTGATATTTAACATACTAGCACCTATGAAATTGTTTTTAAGAAAATAAAGTAAACCTAATACATTAACAGTAAAAGCTTGCAATATTAGGAGTAGTCAAAAAGCCGAAGTATTGGTTTGAAAGTCAACGTCATAAAAAAGGGTTTTTTAATTGCAGGTTAAAACTGTATTCAGTTGGTGATGTGATGGCACTAAAAGAGAAGGTTGAGGACGTTTTTTAAATAAAGTTTTGAACTTGGCTAGAAATCGTTCTTGTTGTGTGGCATGTGTAATATGACCGTTTCATTAAACCGTAGTACTAATATTTTATAAATATATTTTCTTAAAATTATGAGGTTCAGGGTACGATACCTTTGATTATGCTCTGCATTTTCAGTCAATCATAATATAATATAATAGAGCCCCCCCAGTGGTAGTCTGCGGAGTAACAACGCTAAAATCCGGGTTTCGATACCCGTGGTGGTCAGAGCACAGATAGCCCATTGTGTAGCTTTGTGCTTAATTACAAAACAAACAAACAAAACTCTAAGAGTAGAACAAAGTTCTTGTGGCGGCGAGTGCTACTACATATCTACCCTTTTTCTGATACATAGATAAAATCTGAATCTTATGTAGGTGTCTCTTACGTGGCTATTTAACCCCATTTGCGCATAAGGTGCCAGTCACATTGAAAATACCAACACTAATATTAATACGTTTAGCACCTTTTTTTTTCACAAAGAACTAAGTTAGCTGAGCACTATTAATTTACGTCATTAAAAAACTCATAAATCGTGTTCTACATTTAGTGCTAGCATTCGTTTTTTAATTCACTTGAAAACTAGGTTTTAATTCAAGGATTTTTAGCTAATAGAACTTCAGCACAAACTTTAAAAAGATAAAAGATCTGATAGTGGCTTCTCCCAATGTTTTTGTTTATTTAAATTCAGCAATTAAATCAACTGTTTTTCTGAACATACATATTTTTACTCTTGAAAAACAGTGTCGTCAAAACTGATAAATGAATTTTTAGGGATTAAACTATATTCTGAAATAACTAAAATTTACTTATGATTCAAAATAAGATGTTTTTTTTTGGCAAGTTGTGAAATGTATTTGTATATTCTTCTAGATATTTTCTCTCACTTATATATTTATGCCTTTGAGACATCCAGCAGTTTTCATCGCTTACCAAAAAGTGTTTCCTTTTATAATGGACTGTTATGTTATCTTTATTTTTGAAGTGAACAAGGGGTAGATTTCTTTATTGACCTAAGGAATACTTTATCACAGAGTTAAAAAACTGTCTGCCTCAGGAAGTAATGTATAAGTAATCTTTTCATCCTGACAGTTCCATTACTTGAAATTCATGTTTTTAGTCTGTAAGTCTATTCGAAAGGGGAAAATACCATTTTCTCTACTATTTCCCCTTTTATTCTTTCGGTTTAAAAAGTGTTATCAAAATAGTACATGAAATAAAGTTTAGAAGATCCACTGACAAGGAAATGTAGTTTTCAAATTCTCACATGTTCTAGAGAGTTTCTTCCTGTCGTCCCTAACAGCAGTGAAACAACGTAACCACGCGTTTATTGGTAGGCCAGTGCAGAAAAAACCCGTGAAACAACGTAATCATAGTTTATTGGTAGGCCAGAGGAGAGAAAAACAATGAAACAACGTAACCACACGTTTATTGGTAGGCCAGTAGAGAGAAAGGCCCTGAAACAACGTAACCACACGTTTATTGGTAGGCCAGAGGAGAGAAAAACAATGAAACAACGTAACCACTAGTTTATTGGTAAGCCAGAGGAGGGAAAAGCAGTGAAACAACGTAACCACTAGTTTATTGGTAGGCCAGAGGAGAGAAAAGCAATGAAACAACGTAACCACACGTTTATTGGTAGGCCAGAGGAGAGAAAAGAAGTGAAACAACGTAACCACGAGTTTATTGGTAGGCCAGGAGAGAGAAAGGCCCTAAAACAACGTAACCACACGTTTATTGGTAGGCCAGAGGAAAGACAAACAATTAAACAACGTAACTATGCAATCATCGATGGGCCAGGGGAGAGAAAAGCTAAAATTTCGTTAGGTATAATAAAATTTTCGTTTAATTCAGCAACTGTTGGGGAATTGTGGCGCGTGTTTCTTTGCCTGTTGGGGAGAATCAAATCGAAGTCATGGTCTAAATATAGGAGTATGCAATTTATATCGTCTAATAATAATTTTTAAGAACATGTACATAACTAAGGTCTATAAAAGGCCACTGATATAATTTTTAAGAACACATACATAAGTGCATAAAAAGTCAGATATCTAATTTTTAAGGACACGTACATA